GTCTGCCAATTTGGCTCCCTTACAAAGGCTGGAAGTTCCCCAAGATTGATTCTGTTTCTATGTAGCGGTGCCCTGGGGCTGAATGTTGAGGATGCACTCTTATGAGTGTTGTGCATTATATTCAGCTGAGAAAGGCAGTATAATTGTGAATATGATCATGGAAAATATACTGACTGACATTTGTTTGCAACACTGAAAATTTAAACCGATTTACGATCATTTTATTATTTCTTAAGTCAAGGAAAGGCTCTCTGGCTGTGGATGAAGAGGGGGGCTGGGATCATTTGCAGCAGGAAACCCTCTGAGACTGTTTTGCAAAACAAAACGAAGCAGCTAGACCCTTATTGAAAAATATAGTGCAGTGAGACGAAAATTTATTAACTGGCACCAGTTAATGTGTGCATTATTCATTTCTGGTGAGCATGAAAAATGATCTAAAGAGGTTTGAAATTGCAGACGCGCAGGCTGACTGCACAGTAGCTGGGTTTGCTGGTTCGTTTCATCCTCTTGCAGGGGTGTTTGGGCAGAGAGGTAGATGGATGGAGGATGGAAGGGAGGAGTGCGAGAGCCGCTTTTTGGACAGTAGGGCTTTCCAGTAACAGCTGTGCTTCTCTCACGAGGGGGTGGCAGCAGCATTGGGAGAGAGGCTGCTTGGGACAGATGGACCAGCCCAGCACCACCTCCCCTCTCACCTCCCACCACCACCAGTTTTCTTATTAAAAATACATCTCTAATACTATTAATGTGCATAGCTGACTGTTTGTCTATGTACACGCAATGTATTTGAGTGTTACAGTAACAGAAAGTTCCTTATCTGTTTACTAAGTGCTTTTAAAGTTTTCATCACTGGTGTATTTCTTTTCACTTTTCTCTTTTATCTTTTTGTGCTTATCTCCCTCTCTTTTGTCTCCTTGCTTTTGAACTATATCTCCCTTATCCTGCCGCTCTCTCTGACTTTCTTTTTCTCTCTATCACTGCTAAAGTAGGAGATGGTGGGCTGGAGTCGGTGCCAGTGGCATATGGCTTTCCAGTGTGCTAAACATTCATACAAAAGACAGGCCCATCAGTCATGGCTGTGGCCGGATGATGGGAGAGAGCAGGCCTCTGATGAATGGCGTTTAGAACTTACCTGCTGTTAAAACATTACCTCCCAAACACCAGCTCCCTGAAGCACACACAATATTAAGAGCTGTATAATATCATGAAATATGACCCTTGTGAGCACATATCCTGTACGCCAGGTTATATCAAGGAATAAATGTGCTCCTTAAACCTCTTGTACAGAACCTTGGGTCAGGCCTTCATAGACCAATTAATGCAGAGCATCTGCTGTATAGAGGGAGCTTGCTAAAGAACTTCCGAGCCATTTCAGGCAATTTAATAAGGAGGAGAGCCTGCTTCCTGCTTGCTCCAAAAGCTCTCATTGCTAGAGTAAGCATGGAATGGGTCTTGTCGATTAGACCAAATTAATCCATTCTTCAGGGATTCTTTTTCTGGTTCTATGGTGAAACCGACGCGCCTTTGTTCTTCCTTGAGCCCCAGTGTTTTTTCTGCCAAATTTAACAGAAGGCTCGGAGGGTAACGGGGGTCCAACCCAGTATCACCTTCTGGAGCAGAGCAACTAGCAGAGAAAGACAATCAGCCTGAACCCTGCTGTCTCCAGCACAAAGTGAAAAGACTCTAATTGGGCTTTTTTACGCTGCATTTTCCTGCAGGATTGCTGGATCATGAAAAAGCAATTAAATCTCAGAGCTGCAATTCATTCATTCTTATTTTTATCCTTTCAGTGGAAAGAGACAAATTTGAAATCACTGTGTGTGAATTTTTTTTTCTTTTCTTTTTTAAGATTTTACAGAGAGCGAGGCCAGCTGTCATCTGAAAAGATCCAATCACATATTTAGA